CATGAAGACAGGAATTCATGTTTGAACCACCACATCCACCTTTCTGGGTAGAGATGTTTTTTTCTTCTGGTAAGGCGCTAACAGATGAAAACAGCAAGAGCAAGAGGATGAATTAATGCTGAGCTCTGGCCCTCACAGAGACTTTCCTGGAGATACAGTCTTCTGCCCCACAGCTTTTGTCAGGGACAAGGAAATGTTCCCTTGACTGGAGGTGCGTGCTTTTTATCGGCATGTGCATGGAGCAGCACAGTCAGCAATGCGAGCCATATGGTAGCAAACCCTCCTCTTGCCTGGATCTTCTTCTACTGTGTGTCTATCAGAAACCACTGCCACTGCAGCCAGCAGCAGCGTGGTACCCTCAGGGACAGCACACTGGATTTGAATAACACTGGGCTCAGGACCAAGTTCTGCATCTCAAAATAAACCACCCAAACTGTGCTCCTGGCTGGTTTGAAAAGCACCCATCTACTCATCCCTCCCTTCAGCTCTGCCTTCCTTTCAGGGCATTACATTTCATCGCTGATTTCATCACTGCTACCTCACTTGTATCCTTAAGATAAGCTAGCAGCTTCCCCCTGCATGCGGAGGTCCTGGGGCAAGAGCAGGCCCTTTGCACAAACCTATGGTAGTACAAGCATGACTGTGATGGACTGGCTGCATCTGCATGCCCCAGATTGTAGATTACTTCCAAACATGACAGTCAGCTGAGGTGCCCAACACTACCCTGCTCCCAACAGGAGCCAAAAGAGCAGTTTTGAGAAGAGCTGTCTGAGAACATCCAATAATCCTACAGGAACAGGCTAAGTGCAGCGTAACAACGGAACAACAACACACCATCAAGAAAATCACATCTTTTGTGGTGTTGGAAACAAATGAGTGGGTAGCTGAAACCCAGAGAGACTCTTCATCAGAAGTAACCTAGCCTGAACCTCCCAGAGGAGGCAAAAGCTGCGCTTTGCCCTTGCCACGAGTTGCTTGGGGTCCATTCACCACTGCAGCAAACCCAAGGGAAGTCCCAGCTAGGCACCTGTGTTTTGGGCTGTTTCCTCCATTTGTGGGTGCGGGGCAATGGCAGTACCCGCACACCAAGGTGGTTGCTCTGACCTTCCAGCCTGCAGGCTGTTTCAGTTGAATTCATGCTTTGCAATAAATAAACCATCTGGAATCTGCCCCTGCAATGGTGTGATGACAGCAAAACACATGTGTAGCAGTCAGCATGAGCATCCCTTCCCAGCACTGTATGTCAGGCTGCATGCTTCCTGATTGCATCCCAGCCTGCTGCCTCTCCGCCGGGAGCCAGCTGCTCTCATGTGCACCCCGTGAAGATGCTGGCGACAGCAGCTGCTCTCGATCACTCTTGATGGGAGTCTCGCATAGTTCCTTATTCTTCACCCCAGGCACAAGGTATGCTTGTTGGAGATGCCATGACATGCAGCACTACAGAGCTGGGGATCTTTCCAGATGCCCTGCAATTGGTGCAGCGACTGTGCCACCTTGTGCCAGCAACATTTACAAATGCGTTCTAATCTCCTGCCTCGGATTTTAATCCCACAGTGCTCTCACTCTGACTTTTCTCTTATGAGGCCAACCAGGGCTCTGCATCTCCTCTTCAGCATGGTCCTTTACTTCCTCCCAGTAAATAGGGTCCATCCGAGGGTGCACCCTGACCATTGGTGGTTGAAGCTCCTAGCCTGCGGGCTCTGTGCTGCAGATCATTCGGTCCAGCTCTCATTTCCACTCTGCCTGTTGCAAATCAGGAAGTTCCACTGACTCCAGCTGATGCTGGTGTAAATGAGAGACACACAATACAGCAATCTGGCTGTACTAATAAAAACAAGGACATCTTACAACTGAACCATGTTAGGAGCTATTTGGATTTTTTTCAAATATGTGTTTTTATTCAGCCAGATGCAACATGGCCTATATGGGAAAAAGAAGTACAGGATTTCAGGGTTGGAAACTTTGACCTAGGTCTGAACACTTTTCTGACAGATTCAAAGAGCTTAATCTCCTTAAACTCACAAGAAAACATCCAAGTGTAATATGGGTATAGTGAGCAGATTCTTCACAGAAGCTGTGGCATAACATACAGTTCTGTCATCTGACAAAGAAAAGTAGGAAAATGACTAGAGGCTACAAGCCAAGGCCAAACAACTTCTACCTAGAAGCTGTGCTCACATGTTCACCCTTGAGGCAATTAACTGCTGGGATATACCCTCACTGGATATGGCAGCTTGGTCACTGCTTCCACTCAAGGGCAGTTGGACTTTGGTGAAACCTGAGGGCCTGAGCTCAACAGACACACAAATCCTAATGTCCTTCGTGGCCTACAGGCTTCCAGAGGCAGTCTAAAGGCATTAAACTATGAATCCTCTTTGGGTTTACATTTTACAAATCCAGGAATGCTGTATGACATTGTCATGCTAATGCAAGCTGTATCTATCCCAGTTGTCCTGGAGAGCTCTTCATGGGAGCTCGGACTGGCCAGAGGGCAGCTGCTGTGCTGGCGAGATAAGAGATGGGAGACGTTTCAGCAAGGGAAAGCTGTGAGATGCATGAGCAACTGCCAGGAGCAGAAATCAGCTCACGGGTGCACACGTCTGTCTCCACTTTGTATCAGACACTCAGAAGGTGGATTTGAATTCCCTCATGTAAAATGCTTCTGTTTAAAGTTTGGCCCTCCTGGGCCACCTCAAAGCTGGTGAATCCAATGTCAAGACCCGCTCTGGGAGAAAAAAGTCGAACACAAATTGTACAAAGACAAAGATATATGTAGGCAAGGCAAAAAACACAAGTCAGGGTTTACTCCCACTATAATCGTGCTCTGCTGGGAGATCCTGGGTCTCACTGCTGATGAAGAAGGACCTCAGCAGAGCCCTGCACCCTCCACATGACAGATTGCAATTGTTTGTGCCACATTAAGGGGGTTTTCAGATGAAAGCCATGGAGGACCTTTTTTTTCTTTTTTCTTTTTTAAAGCAAAACAAGATACCTCACACATTCCCTCTTCTCTCACGAGCTTTTCACTGCACTGAGTAGGCACCCAAGAGCACCAAGGCAATGCCCTGGCATGCAACAACAGAGGGGAGGACTGGGAGGGCATATGGGAAGAGCTGAAGGGGCAGCCATGCATTACACCCTTCTCTTGCCTTTCTCATTCCCCAGGGTCCTGGCAAAGGAGCAGGAGAGGGGAAAACAGCAGAGGTGTGCTCAGAACAAAGAAACATATCAAGACAAGGAAACCCAGTCAACATAATACAGCCTCCGAGGCTCAAGCATTGCACAACAGTAGGATCATAAGTAAGCTGGGCTCTAAAAGGCAGAGATGACACCAGAACAGGGTGAAAGCAAGAATACAGGAGCACAGAGAGTAAAAACCGATCCATCTACAGGAGGAGGATAAAAGGAGGGAGGAGAAAGGAGGAGAAAGAAGGTTATATTTTCTGGATTTGGGGTTTGGAGACTTGACTTTGATTATTTCTTTTTTCATTTTTTTTTTTCATAAAGGATCTCACACCTGATATTCCTCGTTCCATCCATCTCGGTTCACCAAGAGCAATGAAGAAATTCTCCTGCCTTTCGTATTCCTCCTCATCTACTATCTTAACCCTTACGGTCTTCCTGTAGGGACAATAAGAAAGACAACTGTGTACAGCAGGTCAGCTGGCTGGAGGTGAAGTGGCAGCAGCAGTAGCAGTGGCGGCAGCAGTGCAGGCTCCTGGCACGCAGCCCCTTCCCTGCCAGAGCGGTGCACGTCGGCCTGCCTCTTGGACACGGGGCATCCATCACAGCTGCTCCTTAGGGAGCGGGAGAGTGTTAAAAGGAGAGGGAGCTCATGAGGAGGTGAGGAGGGAGAGAAGGAAAGGGGGAGGAGGGCCTGGCTGATGGTTAGTGGAAGGCGACTTCTGCAATGCATTTGTTTTCAGTGTCAGATGGTAATGGAAAGGGTGTCGGCTGCCTGGAAATCACCAGGGACCACCCTGAGGTACCCACTGCATTTTAGCTGGAAGATCAATTGCTTCTACTACCCTTAAAATTAATAATAAATCTGTAGAGATTCTGGGCTGGAAGCCTGAAGAGGACAGAGAGAGATGGGCATTCACAGACACATTCCCCAGTGGGGTGAAGTGGGATTCTGCCAGCAGGCTACAGCTCTGTCAACTGCAAAGGAGGCTGATAGTTCTAATTTCCATTTTTAAAATGGCACATCTTACTGCTTTTTCTTCTTGATAGCATCTTCCTTTTCCCCCTGACATGTCCCACGAGTGAAGACACAGCTTTCCCAGGGAGCAGACAGCACTGCTGGGACCTGACAAGGGACACAATGGCACTAAAATACCTCTGAGGCTCAAACAGAAATACCCTGGCCACTGGAGTGGGGCTGGCCCTTCTCTCCTGGCTCCCTCCAGCACCCCTGCAATGCACACAGCTACTGTGACCCCTCAGGCAAACCGAAGTGGGGCATCAGCTCTTCCTGCCCTCCCAGAGCCGCTCCGCAGCAGCTGGACTGAGGGCTGCACAGCCTTTGCAAAGTCCTTCTCAGAAGTTATAGGAGCTGCTTCTCTACCAGGCCTTGATTCCTGTCTTTTTCTAACATGGGTCTGACCAGGACACACCACAGGACCAGGGCTGGGTGATGATCTCCTGAGATGCTGGGTATGTTTCTAGCCAGCATCTTCCCACTGACACCATAAAATTTGCTTGGACCCTAGAGTGGGCATGGCAGAAGGTCCATCATAAGCTACCACAGAAATACAGACAAGCAGGACTGCTTTCTGTCCTTCTCTCTCTGCACCCCTGGCCACTTTGCCTCTCCTACTCCCAGCATCACTCCCCCTGCCACCCCACGGGTACCATGTGACACAGTGTGCGAGCACAGCAGTGTTTAGGGCAGAGCGGTTGGAGACAGAGAGACATCAGAGGAAGAGGAGGAGAAGAGGAAGGAGATGGAAAAGAAGAGGAAAGAACGTTAATGTTAGTCTGCAGGGCCAGTACTACACCTTTTTGTAAACTCATATCCACCATGCGGGGACTCATCAGCTCAATGAAGAAATTCTTGGTTTTTTCATACTCCTCATCATCAATTACCTTGATGTGAACTGTTTTGCTGTGGATGGAAAAATAGTAAGGGTCATAAAGAGGAGAAGGGAACAGAGAAGCAAAAGTGAAGGAAGGAGACGAATGGGTGCATTAGGGAGTCAAAGTTTTCTCACCCACTGAACAAGCTCAACATGGCCCTTGAGAAAGACTAAAGCCCCACTCCTGCAAGTGATACTGGCCAATTTTCTGTTTAACCCAAAGGCATGATGGCATGCCACACCGTGCAAAGCGAAGTCAGACAAAAATATTGCTGATTCCCCAGCAAATCAGTGAGGGGCTCAGGAGTCACCAGCAATGAGGTCTGATGGCCAGCAGGGAAGCAGGTTTCCCTCACCCTGCTACCCACCACACACACACACACACACACACACACACACGCGCAAAAGCAGATACACAAGCACACACACCCTGTGGGCACCATGCTGCTGCCTCCCTGACAGCAGCACACGCTGACCACACGGACTGGGAAGGACCCTGCAATCTGCAGCTCTGATATCATTCATGTCAGAGGTAACCCTAGGTGATGAGGGTTTATTAGCATCATCAATCTGCTCTGAGAGCTGCTGGCTGCTGGAGCAGTGGGGCAACATATCCTACATCTCTCCTTCAGCAAATTTCTTACAAGTTATTGAAGCATTTTGCAGAAGAGCTCATTGTGCTGTGGTTTCCTCTCATGGCAAATACATGCCTTATGCAGAGGTCCCCATCCCTTGGCTTTCACACACAAACAGAACAAGGGAAATGAGTTGAAGGCGCTGCCAACCTGATGCCTCCTTTCTGCTAGGGTTGCACTGACTGTCATGGGATGAAAGTGACCCCTGCTCTCCCTTCACTTTCTTGGTGGCTGCAAAGCTTCATTGCAATCTCACCCCTCACTTGTGACAGGAGGGATTGATGTTTTTATTCTGGGCTGATCACACACCCTCTTAAATGCAGCACTGTTTGCACGTGCATTGATGAGCCCATATGATTACATGCTGGTATAAACGCAACTGCTCTAAACAGGCATGTGCTTGCCACCTTGGGGCTCCTGGACTTCCAGTCAGACTCAACCCTAATCTGGAGCTGCATTTTTTAGACAAAAAGCCAGTTCCATACAGAACACATTTCTCTTACCCCAAAACATCTGCCCCGATAGCCACGAGGCCAGCTGCCCCTCCTGCCAGTGAATACCCCCCTGCTTCCCACAGCTCTGTACCCATGCATAGCCATGTGACTGTGACCTCCCCTTGATCCCTGACCATCCTCAGCATTCAGATCATGCTGTGCACAACCAGTCTTGGCTGGGGATTGAAAAGAGGTGAAAAGCCGGACTGGCAATCACAGAGTCTGGAAAAATAGCCCCAAGCTTCAAATACCTATGCCCTTCATCCAGTAGCTCTTGGCACTTCAGAGAATGAGCAGTCCAGCCCTGTATCCTGGGGATGCTGCCACTGCCAGAAACCCCCTGAAAATCACCATTTCGCAATGGAGAATAAGAGAGTCAATTAATTGTCGTCACTGCAGCTTGCATTCCTACTGATACTGTTAATGACCAGAAAATTATCCAGTCATCCTACAATTTGATCCTCAAGTCATAACTGCTCCTGGAGTTTGACTGTGGAAATCCCATTCCCTGTACTGGCTCTTGTTTTGGTCTTAGTCCCAAAACCTGTCTTTCAACTGATGGCATACGGGATAGAGGGAAGACTTTGGACAAGCTCTGTTATATTCATCAGTGCAGGAATATGCAAGAAAAATTGCCTCCCATTCTTCTTTCTAAGCTAAATCAGCTTTATTTTTGTCAGTGCTTGCTCTAACCATACCCTGCACTAATGCTAGCAAGGCTCCATTCCCTGCTCTAGACCCTTTCAGTCTTCACTAATCCAGCCTGAAGGATGTAGGATTTTACATAATACGTCTCCAGTGTAAATGTTGGTGCTCTGCTAAAGCTTCATTGGGATGATTTTGTTGCATTTTCATTTGAGAGATTGACTGAGTTTGGCTTTTGAACCAGGTGTTGTGTGGTGATACTTTGGAAAGCTCGTTCGATTTGCTGAGTTAAACCTTCAGCTGATTCACAGCTCTGAGCTTTTCCTTGCTCATACACTACAAAACAAAAGGTGGGATTTTCAAAGGCAGCCTGTGCTTCCTGAACATGGGTTACTTTTTAAAATCCTATTTGTAATTACCGTTGCTTATGTTTATTTTCCATTCTAGGAGCTCCAAATTACTCAGTATTGTTTGTCTGCAAAAATGTGGAAAATAACCCCACAGACCCTGTTTCCCAGGAGCCAGGTTCTGTATCATGACAGAGCTATTCTCAGACTTCATGCAGTGAGCATCACACATGCACACCATTTGAGTTTGCTTTCATACAGCAACTGTCCTTTTTTTTTTCCTTCCTTCCTTCTTTGCTTCCTTCCTTCCTTCCCTCCCTCCCTCCCTCCCTCCCTCCCTCCCTCCCTCCCTCCCTTCCTTCCTTCCTTCCTTCCTTCCTTCCTTCCTTCCTTCCTTCCTTCCCTCCCTCCCTCCCTCCCTGTGGCTCTCCCATCTCCATGAGTGGTGTGTGCATGTACCAGAGCAAAGAAGAAATGCTTGTTTAATGAGAGGGAGTGCCCGGCCAATGATCTCCCCAGCCATGGGCTCTGTGTATGGAAAGCCCCTTACTGGTGCAATGAATACTCAAACCTGTGAAGGAATAACGACTCTTTTACCTGGCTCTGAAACAACAAGTGAGGGACAGAACTTCCACAGACCAGAGCCGCAGGTGCCTTACACCCCTTGCCCAATCCGACTGAATCGCAAAAGAGGATGTGCCCAACCACCTCAGCTTTGCTGAGGGGCTGTGAGTGCTCAGCAGGTCTACTGCAGCAGAAAAGCTTTGGGGACCTAAACGTGTGAGGACCTAGGAGCACAGAGGTGTGGGCTGCGTGGCAGTGGGAACCTGTGGTGGGGTGGTGCTGGATGGAGGGCTCCAGCCAAACCACAGCCACTGCCCACTCTTGCTCCAGAGCCAGTGCCGTGCCAGACCTCCCTGTGCAAGGAGAAAAGGAGTGCCCTTGTCCCAGCTGCCCCACACAATGGTCAGGGCTGATGGGGGGTGACTGCTGTGGCCCATCACGCCACCCCTCACAGCATGCTGTGGATGGTGGGGGCTGCCCTTTTCCAGGCAGCCTAGCCACTGCAAGCATATCTGTTCTTTCCAGGACTATGAAAGCAACCATAACTACAGCTGCGTCCTGAGCTGTCATATATTGTCTGGAGGCCAAAACTCAGATTGCTCCTCGCAATCTCATCTCTTACCTACAGCCACACTGAGAGCTACCTCCTCAGAATGCATGGAGAGTAGAGGAGATGGATGGGGAGAAGGGCTGGAATGTAACACTGCCCTGGGAAGACATCACGTTAATGTGAGAGATGTGACAGGAGGACACCAAGAGGCAGAGAGCGTGCAAAGCAGAAGGCTTGGGAACATTTTGCTGCAAGAACATCCTGACAGTTTCTTGAAATTAATGGAGGCAGAGGCAGACATGAGAGGGGCTGGAGGCACAGCAGCCCTGACAAGCATGCTCACTGCAATGGAAAGTGAGAGATCTGAAGCCCACCTTGCTCAGCCAAGGAGCTTTCATTCCCCAGCCTCTGGTTGCCTTCCATGAGGAAAGGATGACACTTCTTAGCTTTCCCTTTTCTCTCTTGAGCTTGATCACAGCCAAGACATAACTCAGCTCGAAAGCAGAGAACAACAGGAGCCATTCAAAAGCCTCTTCTGGCAGCAAAAAGCCACTCTGCAATCCACAAAACCCCCACCACCAAGCCACAGCACAGTCCGATCTCAACCCCTGCATGGGTACACTTTAATCCAGGCCTCGGTGTTTTCAGCAGACTGAGCAATGCTTTCTGTTTGGGCTAGGACACAACAGGGCAAGCCAAGAGCCAGGGTTTCCAGGGAACATGTGGCCATACAGAAGTCATGATAGCTGCTTTTTCTCTCCTTTTTCTCTGGTCTTGTTGCTGAGCTGCCCTCAGATAATGTCAGTCAGGACTCTCCTTTCAACATGCACTTAATGAAAATCAGTGGGTTTAAAACTTAGGGATGGGAAAGCTCCTCTATGGAGCAACATTAAGTAGGAGATTTCCCTGAGCAAGCAACAGAAGATGAAATGAATAGACATCAATCTTTTCCTAAAGGACTTTGTGCACATGATGTTGCTAAATTCCCCATCTGGGAAGTACAGAGGATAATCTGTAAAATCATTTTATTTGACAACACGTCCACTTCCAATGCATAAAGCAACAACTGGATGGTTATTTGATTAATGTGCTAGAAAATATAGAGTATCTCTCTGTGTGGAAACTCTCATTTGCAGAAATTATTGCTGAGGATGTTAAGAGGATATGTCTGCATGACTTTGGAATGTGAAATAAGGCTCAGCATTAAAAACAGTGTAAGTCAGGAGATGTCACATAGTGTACAACACTGAAACAGGGCTGTGCAAGGGCAGGATTTACAGTCCCTGGTGGGATGCTCTTAGCCAGCGTGGAAAACAGCCAGGACAGCAAGGTAATCACCCCTGGGACAGTGAGAAGTACCAGGAGACCTTTAGTAACTCATTAATGTGAATCATTAGTGCATACACTTTGAGTCAAGCCACGGTGTTCTTGACATATCTTGATATATCCAAATCCACATCTGATTTGCTGTAGCTGCAGGTCTTTGTGGCATGAAGTTCAAGCAGATCATACCAGCCTGACTCTTACCCAGAGCTCTGCACTGAGCTGGGGTATCAACATGAAACTACAGATAAGACTTATTCGCTCAGCCAGAAAATCTCATTGAGAAGTCAGCAGAAATGCTGACTAGGTAATATGCCAACATTTGAGGGGCTTAAATAAGTCTATGCACAGAGGGGAGCTGTCTTTGCCCAGCTCAACAGAGGAGATTTCCCTGAGGGGAGATATTTAACAGAGCAATGTGACAGTGCTGGCCTGCAAGGTAAAGAAGCCAGCAAGAGAAGCCCCGATATG